TCATTGATGAACTTCTGTGCCTTCTCGACGCTTCGGGAGCCTACAGCTGTCACTTTGTGCACCACATCATTGGTACCACGTCTGATCAAGGAAATTCGTGAGCTTCAATTTCAAAGAAAAACATGCGCTCGTACGTGGTAGGATCAACAAGCAAATCCTTTAGGGCAAACAGGGGTCAATAACTCGCGCAATCATGATACGAAGTTCTATTTCCCTCACCGAAACAACTTGTTCTGCGATCCAACCCGTAGAGATGATGCCCCAGCGAAGTGTGAAAAGCGACATAGTTCCTGTCAAAGCTGATATCTCTTGCAGCCAATTTATATATCTAGAGGAAGGCGGGGCGCCCGGGGATCCCATGATACAGACAACCCTCGACGGACCGGAGTCGCAAAAAATAGATTTCGCCGGTGAAATCGAAATCTGAATGATATGGTACTGTCTCGCGCAAAAGTCAAGGAATCATAGAATTGGAGTTACGGAAAACATCTGGTACGAACAATTTCAGAGTCAATGACCGAAGCGAGCTTACTGGATGGCGCACACAAGAGTATATTCAGTTATCACTATGGGGTCCACGCTCCTCCTCGCTCTCACGGACCAATTTATCCGGCGGCGAATCGTCATTATTCAATGACGTTTGGGGGGAAGATGTATGTGCAAGATCATCGGCACGTTTCCTCTTTCTTTCTGCCTTTGCCTTTTCTTGATCGGACAGCTTGTCAAATTCCTCCTGCAAGTGTGACTTCAATTTAGGCATGTTTGAAAGGTTGCGATCGCATTTCCAGCAAGAAAGATCTTCTTTAAGTAGAGGCTCATACTCGCTCTTCTTGAGCTGAGAGATCTAGAGTCATGGCAGCAGTCAGCGCCGTGGGGAAGGCACGGGAGCGAAGTACAGACAACTCACTGTTTTATAATACGACGAGTCGGCATCGAACCAAGAGAGAACATGGCTCAAATGGATGAAAAAGCCAAGTTTTGGATGAAAGGAATTGTAGTGCTTCTTCAACTTCATTCTCGGAGAACATAGGTCAGCAGAAAGTACGTGGAGGTGGAGGTGTCTAGAAATACATATATACGTGAGTGCGTCAGAAGATCAACCAATCGAGACTTACTCCATGCTAGGTACTGCATGGAAGCCCATCCATATTTCCCACTTGAATCCGTACTTCTTGAGCATCTCACTTTCGATCATTTTCTTGACATTGTTCGCTTCTCGGCTTAGATCTGTGAGGAGTTCCTTGGCGCTGTTTTTCTCGCATTTGAGCAACGAACGTAGATTAGCGAGTTGGTACACGTTGAAGGGTGGCCTGACACGAGGTATGACGAGAAAATGGAAGATCGACTTCGGAAATGCGTCAAAAACCGTCAAACATGTCTCGGTATGTGAGAGAAGGACTGATGGAGGTAGACTAGCAGGATTAGACTTTTGCGCATAGGCGCGAAAAATTGTCATGTTAGCGCTGGACATGATGCAGCACCTCTTAGAGATCGTGTTAGGGGAGCTGGCTGTCACAAAGACGCGTATGTCACAATTCATGAATGTTGTGACCGTGACGACAGCAGGGTTACCCTCTACTCAAATGTCGCTCGCTTCAATTGTGCAAACAGACGAGCAAACGTTGCAGCCAAGTGATGATTCACCGATTCATAAGCTGGTGCAAACAGTCTTTGCAGAGGTTCTGGCCGAATTCAGTGGCTGGAAACTCAAATACTGCGATCATTTCATCCGCTCTCTGTCCCATGTCACACGAAGTTCACGTGTTCCCTTACCAGATGGCGATAGCACACCTCTCCATGTCGTCGGTAAGGCTTGTGGAGGTCCAGACGGGGACACGAAAAGAATGGTGGCAGTGACCTCTTACTCTGAAGACGGAACTTCAAGATCAACTTCCACAATATCTCTCCAAGTAATACATGCCGAGCTTCTTGAGCCACACAAATCCTATGAGTATTGTACTCCCATCTCAAGGAATATCTTTAGGGGAGACGATGACGATATGATGCCATTCATCCCATACGCGGATGATCCAACCTTCGACTACGTAGATCATACGCTGTGTTATGGCTCCTTTGCGTGGCAGGATGATTATGATCCAGATTGTGAGTACCTACCATTCACTGGATGTCATGAAGCATCATTATTGTGAATAGTAGAAGTTATTTCTTTAGAGGCAGCCTATCGCCTCCATACGGTTCACAGTCTACTGTATGAGGACATAGATAGCACGGGAGTCCTTCCCTTCAAGCTTTTCTCAACTCCAGGAAAAGTTGGACTGTTTACCCTGAGTCGTCGCCGGTATGAGCTTTTTCGATCATTTTTCGTGCTCGCATCCAAACTTTGAACAAATGTACAGTGACCTACTCAAATGGAACGGGACCACCATCCCTTGTTCCTACAGCTTTCCTTCTTCATCGCTGTCTCGCAGTATTCTTCAATATCGGCTTGAGCGCACCCATGCATTGTTTTGTCCTAACCTCAACTGCATCGAGCCCCTGTGCCCTGTTCATGGTATGGCTTCCTATTTTTCCTTTTCTATTACCCAAACAATATAATTTGCAGTTGAAATGAACCCCGTGCCGCCAACGCGTAAGCAAACTATCCGGCTGTCAGAGCTACTGAAACGTGTAGAACTCCCTTGCGAAACTGGCTGCTTCTTGCAGAGCAGGACGGTCGAGGTACTCCCTTGTTGGAGTGAAGACGACATCAATTCGTTTAAGAGCATCTTAGATATCGAGCCTGATATGATACCTTGTGACCATGCTGAATTGTGTTTTAAGCCTTGCCACGAGGTTCGTCAACATGGAAATGACGAGAGCTTTCCTTGGTCTGACTGTGGTTCAGGTCCTTTATTATCGCAGGTTACTATATCCAAATTTCGATGAGCTTCAAACTGAGCGCCCGAATGGGGAACACAAGGGGAAGTCGCGATCTCTGGAATATCGAGGTAGGGACGAATACATGTGGACACGTATTACTTGACCGACGCTCCACACGAGATAGATATTGACCCGCTCAAGTTCGCACCGTGTGTACCCTTGTTGTATAAATGTCGGATGCTGTACTGGATGCTTTTCACAGGAACGAACCTTGTCATCACCCTGGGCCGTGTGCTGGTTCATCTAACTGTTTATGTTTTAAGAACAAGGCCCATTGCCAGCGGAACTGCCGTTGCCCCGCCAAATGTATGTTTATGTCCATGTTGTTGCCAGCACGAGGCTTAATGTCACCCTTCACCAGGCGCTCGGAGATGGAAAGGTTGTCGCTGTGCAAAAGCACGCGACGGAATGAGCTGTGTGAAGGTTAAGCGGTGCTCTTGCGTCGAAGCTCGACGCGAGTGTGATCCAGAGCTTTGTGTAAAATGCGGATGTCGGTGCGTGATACCGGCTATCTTTTATGTTGCGATTCGTTATTTAATATCTTGCACTTGGCAGAGGTATGTTGCGTAGCATTTAGCAAGGGTTGGGTGCGTCTAATTCTAAGTCGAAGACCCGGAAAGGAGTACCTGCGGGAACTCCCAGATTCAACAAGGTCATTTCAAGGTATACATGTACATTTGATACTTCAGATCGCATGAATAACTCTATATCAACGATTATAGAAACTGGAGGTCAAGGAAAGTCGCTGGGGCGTAGGCGTATTCCTCCTCGAGCCGGCCAAGCAGGGTGAAATGATCGTGGAGTACGTTGGGGAGCTTATCTACGAAATGACATTTGACAGCCGCGGGTGAGCAGCGTTCATCCGTGAAATTTCCTGTAGCTCACCGAGTTGATAGAGAGGTCGCAGACCATCTTGGACGAAGTTATGTCTTTGGTCTCAACAAAACGCTATCCCTGGATAGTTCGCGTGCAGGCAACGCGTCGAGGTTCATCAACCATTCGGGCACTAGTGATACCAGTAGCGAAACGCAGTGTAATTGTCGCGCTTTTGGTGTGTAATGTCTGTATCTCTTGATGGCCATCTCAATAACTAAACATTCGACAGCACGGCTTGTGAATGGGGAACATCGTATAGGAATATTTGCGAGTCAGACCGTTTCCCTACTATCGCGGACGCAGAATGCTGACAACTGAAACAGATATGGACATTGACCCTGGAACCGAGATCCTCATTGATTATGGCCCAGCGTTCTTCACAGAGCAACAGAATGCAGAGGCCACGTAAGTCCTGTATCCTTTTTTTGCTGTATTTGCAGCCGTTCAAATTAATCTGGTCATCATCAAAGAACAGCTCGTACTTTAAAACGCTACAGGCAGCATACTTAATTCCGGTTCAACATTGGAGTCTACCTTTAGTAGTCATAGTCAACTGGCACCAGATTAGAAATTTTGGGTGGTGCGGATTCAAAACCTGCCGACAAATGTCTTATCACACCTTAATGGACAATTCTTCAGAAGATACACAAAGTGTCCTGGCCAAAGTGATTAACACAACAGAATCGAAATCTGTTTCTCCTGGATTGCACAGGTTCGAAACCTGCTGACGACAAGCTTTTTCTCTCTCGGAACACACCTTGACAATCGCTCATGGGTGGTTTCATCGAGGGTTCATCCAACTGGTCTTAGCCAAGCTTGTGGTTGTCACAACAGAATCAAAATATGTTTTCTCCTGGACTTTGCGGGTTCGAAACCCGCTGAACAACAGTGTCTTTTCTATCGGAACACACCTTGGAACACACCTTAAATATTAATATTCGCTCGTGAATGGTTTCCTCTGAGGTTCACGTCAACCTCGTACTGGCCAAAGTGAACCAACGGTTACCACAACATCTGTGTCTTGGACTATGTCTGTGCAGGTTCGAAACTTGCCGACGGCAAGGTTTTTTTTCATCGGAACACCCCTTGAAGATCACAGACGGATGGTTTCCTTGGACGTCCATCTTAACTGGTCTTATAGCCATGTGGTTACCACAAATCAGTCCAACCTGTCGACGACAAAGTTTTTGTTCCCTACACTTTGACATTCACTCATGCATGGTTTCGTCGGATGTGCATCTGAACTGGTCGTAGCCAAGTGGTACTGCCGCAACAGAATCCAAATCTGTTTCTCTTGGACTGCGCAGGTTCGAAACCTGCCGACAAGTTTTTCTATCGGAGGACACCTTGACATCGATTCATGGATGGCTTCCTCGGTTGTCCATCTAACTGGTCTTAGCCGAGTGGTCACTGCAACAGAGTCAAAATCTGTTTCTCTTGGAGTTGGTTCGAAGCCTGCCGACAATATTTTTGCGGTGTAAAGATCCTCGCAGGTCATGTTAACTATGTAGGCTCAGTCATTGCATTGAAATATGATAGTCTGTCCATGAAAAGGGATTCACCTTCACGCCCCGCGATGGCTTCAGCTTTTTCCAGTTCTTAATGCACTATGATCACAATCTCATCTGACCAAGTAAAACCAACTTTCTTAACATATTGTCCAACAACGAATTTTCCGCAGCTTTTCTCAATTGTTCAGGATACCGCTGATGATGTACAACTAGTATACCTTTGATACATTCTCCAAATGATAGTAACTAGTACTCGTGGGACAAGCTTGTTGCCGGCAAAGCTCGGCCTTTATCTAGTGATCTATATGTATGCAAAATACCACCACACTGATGTGCACCAAGATTCGAGCAAGGAGTCGACGGTATTATACACGTGCATTACAGTATCAGTTATACCACACGGCTACACTACATGATAAATCAATGTTCCATCAAACCCACTCGTTCAATTCAGCGCCCAGTCTTTAACAAGTCCCTGAGGTTGTCGCTCAGAGTAGGCATGGCTATCTTCGACAGAGACGCCTTTCCCTCTGATTCAGAGGCAGATGTCCCTCGTCGCCGTAGCACACTACTAGTAGAACTAGTGGCTTCTTCAGCTCGTCTTCTATCAATGTCTGCAACAAGCTGGGCAAATGACAGGAAGAGGACCTCTGCTTGGGCAAGAGTAGAATTGAGTTCAATGGTCATGCTGAGCTCATTGCAATACTTCAGGATCTCATCAAACTGGTCGAATATATGGTTAGAGAGGAAGTCGCATGGCAGGCAATCAAGGCACACACCTCTACAAGATAGCGCAGGATCATATCCCGATGGGACTCCAAGATTGCTAAAGCGACAAAGAGAACGAATTCGTTGCTGTAATAGTCCGTCCACAACACTTCCCATAGACGAAGGACATCGTCAAAAGGGAATTCACGTTTGAAAGCGATGAGGACCCATCTGTGATAAACAGTGTTAAGAATGTGCCTTGTCAGCAAGTTTCAGTGAAGACTTACCGGAAACAGAAGAATAAATTGAGACCGTCGGTTTTTTCTGCAGCAGATGAGAGTCAGATAGTTATACAGATAAAGAATGGATTTAGTGACCTAAATGTCGATATAGATCAGGATCCATGACACTGATCAGCTCTTGGAGCGTCGAAAGCTGCTTCTTCATTCCACTCTGATCCCGAAGGAAGTTTTGAATCTGTTGTAAATGTCAGAGACAGAATCTTCATCAAGTTTCAGATGCACTCACCATACGATTCATTACCTCCACAAAGCACCAGAAGGTCAGCTCCTCGTCAGAACCCATCACAACGTACAAAGGAGCGCAAAGGTCCGACATGCCCTGTACATACCCTGATTGCTCTCATTAGATGCCGCATACGAAAGTAGTATTTCAAATGCGCTCACCAAGCTCTTTGTTGTAGAAATTGTATGTGAGGAGAATGCCCGCGAGACGATCGATGTGTTCATTACTGGGAGATTGTGCACCAATGTCCGACATCTGAGGAGAGATCGTTGTGTACCGACGGTTTCCATTCGGGCCATTGACAGCGGCATCCTCATAGGAAGTGGAGAAGAGTGGCTGAGTGCGGTCTGTGCGGCGACAATCTACATCGATGCGATGACGTTCTTCGAGGACATCCGGTCGGTCAAAGACCTCGGGCACACCACACCACTCATCTTTGATCTCACGGTATCGCCTCCTACAGAACGAGTCAGAAGACATGGATCTGGTAATGATGGCAACATCACCTCTTCTCCTCCCATTTCGCTTCTCTCTCACTGCCAGTGATATCCCATTCGTGAACACCAAGTATGAAGGGCCACATTTTCTTCCTGAGGTTCCCATAAGGAGTGATGCCTCTCCTGAAAACTTGACGCCTCATCTCTTCAAGCCTGACTTTCGGTCGTCCATCTTTATCAAACCACTTGGCCCAAAAGGCTTCATCTATCGGGTGTGCCGGGTCTCGAGAGGTTTTGGGAGAGGGAAGGTTGACCGTGGAGTGAAGAAGCTCGAACACACCCAACGGGGATATCTCCTCAACCACATTCGAGGAGGAGGGCAGTGCCTGAGCCTCCCGTTTACGTGCCCGATCGCCTTCTTCAGCAACTATGCGAGCCCAGCGTGCAAGATACACTCTCGCACTCTCAAACTCCCCAACGCCTCCTTTCTCCACCCAACTACCCCATTCCAAGTCGCCGTTAGCATTGACTAGACTCTTGACAGGGTCTGGGAGATGCGGGACGATTGGCTTAGCAAGAGGATGGGAGAGAATATTTTGCGCGGCGTGACGTGTCGCTCTAGTGATATTTGAAAAGGATTGCAGCAGCGCCATCCGCGCTTGTGAAGTGGACTGTGTGGTTGATATGGAGGGTGGGTAAAGAGAACGATGCAAAACGGATGAACGAGGGACATATGAATTAGGAGGTGCATTGGCAGGAACATCGGATAATGGGCGTGGTCGCCTGTGAGCAGGTACAGGTGAGTGCGAAGAAGCATACGATGACTGCGCAAGGATATCGTCCACAGCGTCGTCATCGAATATCTGAGTGGTATGCGCGTCGATGTCGGCTTTAGATGGGTCAACGATAAACAAGGAAGGCTGTAATGTGGAGCGGAGCAGGTGGGCATAAGATCGCAGACGAGAGAGCAAATCCTCGCCTCCCCATGAGCTTGGGGGTCGAGAGGATGATGGTGATGATGTGGAAGGAGGGAATGCACTAGTGGAGTTGCGCCTAGTATGCCGAGACGGCAGTGTCATTGAAAGTGACTCGTCATCATGGAAGTGCAGAGTTGGGAGTGTGGAACTGTTTATGAGGTTTATACCGATGGTACCATCTATTAGTGATTAGTTTAGCCCTGTCGATGTCCAAAAATAACATGAGAACGTACACCATGATGAAAGGGTAGGTGGATGGACAAGGAGGGAGTATATCGAAGTCAGAGGAACCGAGAATGCATAGGACTCTGGTCTTTGTGTAGGAAGGTCGATTAGAACCGCATCTTTGGATGGTGTAAGATTTTCGGATTCAAACAGAGAAAAAAGCTGCGGACCTTCATCCTCTTCATCCAGTGTGGCCTTCTCCTCAATCTTCACAAACTTGTCCCACTCGTCGGTTCCCTTCTCGCAGAGCAGTGTCTCTGGAATCCATGCAAGTAGATAGATAGGATTGATAGCCTCCTAGATGACAAAAATGCATGAGCGAGAAATGCGAGACAAGACCTAGCTACTCACGCGCTTAACAAGAGCTACGAAACCCGGGATGTTATCTCTAGCATATGCAGTTGGATTAACGTAGACCTTGGATTTGCTATATAGAAGGCGGTATTTGCTCTCCTCCTCTGCAGAAGGGGATAATGAACCACTGCTCTCGCTTTGGGTGCGCTGAATCTCGACCATGGAATCGGACTAATAAGAGGGGCTTGAGTCAGCATACCATAACGCCAGCTAGTGGCGACTCACTGAAATTATGGACAAGGAACCGTCAGAGTAACAAGCACGATGATTCTGGCCCACAAGCATCAGTACTTGGGCCACGAATCTCTATTTAGTGTTCGTTCGCTGCGAGCTGCGTGTTACAGAAATGTACTGAGTGTGAACACACTTAAGTCTCCATTTGTAGGCCTCCCGCAGTTTGCCACAATTCCAGTACGAATTTCAAAAAACGTTGTTTTCACTTCGTTTAGTATATTTCAAGACTATGGAGATATCACGATACCGACTACGCTTTTGGAAGTACAACACAGGAGGAGAACGTTCTTCCTGAGCAGGTCTTTTTTACCAGATATGAAGAATATTCCCCTGTAAACACCGACAATAATTGGGGTCTGTCGGTGAAACGACCGTGACGGTCGCGCACGGTGACAAACCTACAACGAGGCCAGTATTAGACTGCGGAACTGTTTGTAAGACCCTTCTTGTAAGTTAAAATGCAAGATCTTGCAATTCCATTCGCTAAACACCAAATAGTTTTGATCAGCGCGCATGCGCGGTGCGCTTGCACTCAATATAGGTTCACCCCACAAGTTACAACGTCAAGATAGCAAGTAAAATGATGATATGACGAACGCTCTAACACAGCAACATTTATTTTTGGTACGACCACACATTCCTGAGCACTACATGAACAAACCATCAGTACAGTCCAGACAAATTACTCAGAGAACAAGACTTACGACCCGCCTTCGTTGCTAGCCGGTTAACAGAGTCATCGCTCTCCCCTTGTGATCGCACTTGTCCGCAGAGCGCGAACGAGGTGTACGTGTTCAGAGCACGACCATTAGCATCAACGTCAGCGACGTTGATCTGGACCGAAGCGTGGTCCTTGGAGGTAATCAGGCGGTCTGAGCCATGGATGGGTTAATGCTCAAAGACGATGTTTGGCTCAAAACATACTGGTGGCCGCACACTTGCGGGGGACGTAGAGGTCAACAAGAACGCCCTAATAACAAGATAAACGGTAAGACTAGGATGCAGCATGACGACGTCAATACAGACCTGGTCGTTTTCCATTGCGAGATCGAGATTTTGGCTATGGTGTGCAATGTGCAATCTACAGGGATGATGCGTGGGATAGTTCGTGAAGCAACTGTACAGTTATTGCCACGTGGCCTGCAATTACGTGGGATTTCCTCTTTAGGACCACGGCTTCTTACGGACCAGGTCGAAAAGATACACATATATGTTGCATATATGTATTGTTTGTGTATCGTGTCGTATCGTGACATGCAGTTTGAAAACGAAGCAGGAGCATCAGCAGGACTCGAGGTACGACAATACTGGAAAAGAAATTCGAAAGATGGTAATGCAGATATCATGATAACAGAGA